GAGAACTATCGAGAACAACAAATCTAACGTATAGCACGCTCCGGGCATGCCGTCACTGTTTTGCAGCCTATTTTAGGAAGGGACAGGACACTATGTTGGAGGCTGTCGCTCCGTCGACCAGGTAATCTGAATACCTCCTCATACTGAGGACGGGTGCTTAGTCCAGGAATGCTGCATTCGATTAGGAATGGGTGGGCGCATTGTGACGTCGGATTTTCGACACTGTACACATGTAAATGATTATTTTGTTGCATTTATATAAATATACTTTTTTTGTAAATTAAACATAGCAGCGCATTGTAAACATAGCGGCGCCTCAAGCATCTACATCCTCGGCGGGTGCAGCCATGGCAGTAGCGAAACCTGCTCGTCAAAGCAAGTACACCGCAGACAAACAAAGGGAGCGGAATAACGCAGCGCAACGAGCGAGGAGGCAGGTACCGAAATCCACCATCGTTGTCGAGTCTCCGAACACACCGTGGGCAGAACGAGGAGCGGCGCAGCGCGCTGGGAGACAGAACAAAGCCTTTCGAATGCGTGAGGCGCAAGCGGATCGCGATTGTAAGCGTCTACGGCGGCAAGAGGACGAGAATTTTCGACAACGCCAGGCGGTAGCAATACGTCGCGGGAGGAATGCTTTCGCCCAGAATGGAAGCTTGGGCGTGTTGGTAAGGCATGATTATTTAAAACGTACAGGGTTGTACGTTTTGAATGCTTTCGCATTCAGAATTCATAAGAAGTCCATCGGTGCCCTCGGATTTTTTTTTTTACTTCAGATCATATGTTTAATATATATCGTGCAAAAATAGCATTGACTGTGCATAATCTGGAATCCACTTCTCTTTTCGGGCCATTCCAACTTTGCTAGACGTAGAAAAAAAAAATTACAATTTTGTTTATACATTTGTTTCATCGAAAGCATTTAGAAATTCCTAAAAAATAATGGCTCAAATTTTTTTTTTCAAAACCAACTTTAATCTGCGAGAAACGCCATAAAGTAAAAAAAAAGAATAATACAAAAAACATTCAATATATATATATAACTGAAATTTTTTTAAGTAACGTTCTCATGGGCGATTTTTGGTGCATGTTGCAATTCCACTTTTGAAGGCTACCGACATGGAAGGCTAAACAATTTACGGAAAGTAAAAAGATGCTACCGCGTTTGGAGATTTCTTGACGAACTTTGCACTTTATATTGGTCTAATTTTCAAAATGTTATTTCAACGTTCGAAACTTTCGTAGTATCGCCATTGCAGCGTAAAACTTGGCGGCCAGTATTTCCAATCCGATTGCTTCTTTTTACATTCTATGAATTGCTTTAGCCTTCAATAGTGGTAGCCTTTCAAGTTTTAAACAACATGAACCTACGAGTCGGAAATTAGAAAGTTAATACACAAATTTTATTGGATTAGATAGCGATTCGTGTATATTTTGTAATTCCTGGCGACACCCTCACTGGAAGTTGGTTTTCAAAGATAGCTATTCTTTTTTATTTCAACGACCCTATTGATTTTAATTTTTGTGAAGCTTTTGCTGAAAAACACAGCGTATAAAATATGACAGGTTTTGCTTGCGAAAGAAGGAAAGCGTAGTGCAGTCTCTTGCTTGCTTCTTTTTGCTTCAACTTCTAAGGAAAGCCCGTGATACTTGAAATTGAGTCCCTGATTGGGGAGGGGGGGGGGGGCGCTATCACGATGGATTGTGTTATGTTTCACGGGCTTTTTGACCGGTCAGAAGCAAAATACACGTGAACCGTATCATGTTGCCAACAGCTTATTCGGGTGCTTCTAAAGAATCTACAACTTTCCTAATCACAATTCAGTTGTCAACACAACATTTAAAAATGAGGTAATCAGTCATAAAACTGTAGTATTATCCTTCTTTATAAATATTGCAACCTTCGCAAGACACTTGCAAGAAACATACAGTTGGTTCCATTGGCATTTAAGGTTGCACCTCTGAAGAAAAAAAAAATCAGGGCGCTTTGTTTCGCATACCCAGTATTTACGTAGATTTACGTCTTAATGGCGAGAGAAGGGGAACGTGGCTATGTTTTCAGTTATGATTTATTTTTCGGGAAAATCAAGGCGCCCTGTAGAGCGATGGAATAATGCACGCCCAGTATATGACGATACGAGAAGTATGATAACTGTTGGCTGCTTCACTAGCCGACACATATCGGACCTCTCGTCTCGCTTCACGAATGCAGCCGCAGTTTGTATTTATGCTACTTTACTTCGCGTTCTCTAAAATTTGGGAAAGCAAATCGAGACTCATATTTGCACTTTGAAGTTCGTGCATCGAAACGTCCGTGCATTGAAATGTCCTGAACAGAATAGTCTATGCCAAAATTCTTCCCTCTACTAGAAAAATGAGATGAATAACAATTACAGATTACCGAGCTTCAAATGTAATGAATAACCGCCACAAATTACTTTCGCGTAAAAGTAACGGATTATGTTACTCTCTTGGTTTCCAATTACTCTCAAATTACTTTTCTCGCACACTTATGCACGAAACAATACAAACAACTTTTATTAAAAAAAAAAAAAGTTCTGGAACACCTTTTTGCATTTCTCATACGTCCGCATTATTGCAACCCTTTTAAAAATAAAATATTCAATGGAAGAGGATTAGTGCGGGTGCACTCCGCTCACCAGTAAGCTGAAAAAGCAGCAAAGGCTGGAACCACGCCCACCATCCCGCCAGCCTACGGCGACAGAAAATGACTCCTGGAATTCATACGACATTGATAGCTGTGCGCATGCTCAGTAGCAGCATCTATCTCCTCTAGGAGATCTACAGGGTGTCTCAAATAGCGGCCAGGCACTTTAAATCGAACGCGAGAATCGATTTCCTACCCTATCGCACTACGAATTTAAGGAGCAGTGCCACAGGTGGTGAATTTTTTTCTCGAAAATTTGGAAAGAACGAATTTACCTGAAACGAAACTAAAAAAAAAAAAAAAGAAAAAAATGAGGTCTTAACGGCTATGCAAACGCAGCGAAGCCACTGGTCCTCGAAAAATGGGGCGCGCTATTGTTCGAAGACCGGCGGCTTCGCTGCGTTTCCATAGAAGCTAAGATTTTTTTTTTTTTTTAATTTTTTATTTTTTACAAGATAGATTTTTGCAAATTTCAATGAAAAACGTCACCACCTGTGGAAAAGTTGCACAATATCGTGAGACGATAGGTTAAGAAACCGATTTTTTACGGTCAATTTAAAGAGCCTGGACGCTCTTTGAGACACCCTCCAGAATACAACGCCTCCTCGGCACTGTCTTCTTGATATATGTTTTTTACCTATTCGTATACACCTCTCACGTTCTTTTAGTGGTTCCAGTGACCGGTTACACAGTAAATTATGTTTTATTTTCAGTTTTCATTCTTTTCACGATGTTTGTTTTGTTTCTTGTTGAACTTGCTGTCTTTATCCTGTTAAAATAGCCTGGTCATATTCCTCTAATGTCTTTATTGTGCTAATAATTTAAACGAAAGTGTCAGGAGTAATTAAAATACACCGTTAGAAATGTTTGTAACGAAATTGCGTTGCAAATTTTTGCCGCAAAATTAACCTGGCAATTATAAAATGAGAAGGAATCCGTTACTTGTAATGAATTACTTCCCAAATCTGGTTCCCGCACCGAAAAGTTCGTACACTGAAGCGACCTTGCCGCAAAGAGACCGCCAATGGAACGCACTACACCGAAATGTCTGGAACCCAGGATTTTATAACAACGTGCAGGCAGCGGGACACCAGAGAGTTACAGCAGCAGGTAGGGGCGCGGCGTCGTTGTCTTGGGTTGCCCAATATCCGAAGCAAGTCAACCACCGGCAGAAGAAAAAACAGGCCTCACGAAACTGGTGTTCCTCCTTCCTTCCCCTGGCAGGAATTTTGTACGAAGTAAAAAGGGGTCTCGTCTTTCCGAACGATTTTGAAAATAACAACCGAGTTGAATGTGATGACGGTCCTTTTAATTGTTGCTACTAAAAGGCGTCTTCCAAATTCGGGTAAAATAACGAATATATAGACGAAAACAAAAAAAAAACGAAGAAATTCCGTTCTTTCTGCCGTCGATTGAAAACGTAACGGGTTTCCGTTCCAGCTCCACCGACGCAGGATGAAATGGCGGCGTTCCTCCGTTCACCCTGAAAGTAAAGTGTGGAGGAACGTTGTTCCTGGGAACGACGTTTTGTACAATACTGCCAAGACGTCAAGACCAGTATTTACCACACCGAAGCGTCGCGAGTTGTAGTGTCAGTTACTTATCACCTGCAGGGAACTAGAAGTTTGATAAAGTCTGTAAAAAGCACGGCGGAACCTTGAAGTCATCGTATCCTTACACCAATACACTCTGAGTTGACAGTCTTCCATTACAGTTATTTCCGTCGATGCTTGCCGAAATCATCCAATTAAGATCGACTAAGGGAGCGTCTGGTCAATCGAGATTGTCGAGCACAGTGATGCTCTTGGTCGCGCGTATCTCAACTAGAAATTAAAAAAAAACAAAAAAACTTTAACCTTTCCGCTTTGGTGAAGGAAGACCAGCGAAGCTCTATTATAGTAGCAATGAAGTAATGGCCTGCCACAAGTCGGCAAGCCAGAGTGAAAAGGTACTAAAGGTTGCCACCACGTATGAGCAACGAGGGCAACCAGTCAGCCGGCAAACCGGTCGTTTGGTTACTGTCGTCGCTCATAGATGGCGGTAGCTGTCCAAAGCTCTTTCTTGTCAGGTCATTTCAGGAAGGCCACAGTCCTAGGTTGACCAGCTCTTAACAGCTCTGCTGTCAAAAAAAGATCCACCAAAATACAGCCTTACATGTTTTTTTTTTTTTTTTTTTTTATTGAATTTTTATGAAAGAATTATTTGACAGGACAAAAGAACGGCTGTAGACAACTTGCTTGAAGACAGGATAATGACCCCGGAAATCGCGAAACGCAAGCCAGAGTGTCGAGCACAGTTTAGCACATTCGTGTTTCTGGTAATTGGCACGCAGACACTCAGAACGCGGCGTCTCTCGAAGCGATCAAGAAAGCCGCTGTCGTGGTGTGCCTAGACGGCGGGTTGGCAGACACGGAGCACTACGAGGTGGCGTGGCCTCGGCAGGTATACAGGGGCGGCGCCAACGCCGAGTATGCCGCCAATCGCTGGTGGGACAAGCCGGTCCAGGTAAGTAGCAGTACGTGGGTGCACACCGGTTTACATTACTTCCGACCGCAGCCAACGCTCCGAAGCGATGAGGCCGACCCAGCGGATCCAAAGTTGCATCCTCATGTCGCACGTCGTACCTTGTGCGTTTGCCTTGCAGATTAAAGCTAATCACGTGCAGTAGAATCGTTCGATTCCCTTGCACCTCCCGCAACGATGCAGGAAATTGTGGTGTGGTGTACTTCAGGTCGTACCTCAATGAACTCAGCGAAAGCGCACTGTCCTACACTTTCCTGCACCATAGCGATGCAGGTGGTGCTGGTGAATCGAACAACCCTAGTAAATGCGCGGTCAGGCGTTTCTTCTGTCTTTTTTTTTTAAGCCATAGCTTTATCGGCGAAAGTTTCTAGAGGTTTTGTCCTTGTCGAATTGTCGTCGCCGTGAGCGTGAAAAATCGAGAAGTGCTTTTTCACTCCCATCTTCGCGTGAGGAGGGGCAAGTGGAGGCTTCCCCTCGGCTGCGCCGCAAGGAGAGAACGAAGCGCGCAACCCTGGAGTTCCGCCGAGAGTGGCGTGACGAAGGGAGAATCGTCGTGTCGTCTGCACGAAAGACTGGTTTTCAAACATTACTCGAGTTATCCGACAACCCACTTCGGCAGTATCCAGTTGGTACGCGTAAAGTTTGATTGTTTTAGAAACGTTCACTTCGCTTACCCACTTCACGGATCAGCGAGCGCTCGTGGCGGTCGTCAGTGTCATCCACGACGCCAACCGCGACCGCTGTGAGAGTGAACATCGTCGCGCTTTCGTACTCGGGTAAGTGACGGCGCCATTCCACCCGCATTGCGCGACCCTGCTACAGCTATTGCTTTCGTTTTTTTCCCACATTGTGGGCGAAAAATACGACCTTTTTATTTTTTGTGCGTGAATGTTTTAGCCGGTGATACCCAATTCACGAAGACGACGAAAGACGGGACGATGCTCATTTGTCAGCGCTTGATTGGCTGCCTCCCATCATAGCGTTGGCCCTGGTCGGACTTAACGAAATGTAGTAATATGTAGATACAGACCACGGTGAAAGAACAGGGAGATGTTGAAACGAGGTCATAAATGGTGTCGAAATTCACCGGGGGCTCCGCGCGTCGCCGGGCTGGGCACTGTCGGGTTGGAGCTCGGCGTGCAGGCACGTTAGTGCACCGCGCGACCTTGAAAGCTTCTGAGCGAATAAAAACGGTTCCGCGAACATCTTTCCCATAGAAAAATGTCCTATGGCTATAGAAAATTCTTTGTATGGTCGGATTTAGCTTTTTGACCCAATTAGCTAAAGTATTTTCAATGGCTGTCTTTGCATTTTTTATGGTTGTCTTTATGGGTCTCGTTAGCTTCGCCTATAGCCCTATCACTGCGCAGCCATAGCGATCTTTAGCTTTTCGAATGGCTGGCTCTTTATAGCCAGCATGCTATAGCTGCCTGTGGCTTTTCCTTTTGTGTCTTTAGCCAGTCATATGGTCTGCTAAAGAAGGCTGTAAGGGTTCTTCTTTGAATCTCTTTAGCCAGCGCACTTAAAAAAAATATTATTTTCAGTTTTCCTGACTGTTCAACGCTACGTGGTAGATACAGAAGCATCACTAAACACACAGAATACACAGAACACCAGTAGGACAACCGCCACACAACATCAACAACGCAGCTGACACCGGACCCCCACCCCTCTGTAGATACGCTAAGCTGGCACTACCTCTATATATGGCAGTCTTATTTTTAAATCCGATTTGGCCGGTGACTGCTATCATTTATCACATAAACACGGAGAGGCGGATGAAAGTTTGCTCGTACTTCATACATTTTTTGAATGGTCTCTTGGAATAACCCCCACCTCTTAATTCAGCGCCCTGAAAAAAAGCAAATCTCGATTATTAGGCTAATAAACTAAAATTTAATAATTATACTTTTAATAAGTTCGATGAATCATGTTGACAATGCAGTGATGAAACGCAGTACAATGGTGCTGAAGATGGCAATCAAACTATTTCTTGATTGAAGTGTTCAGTGCCAGTGTAATCGATTTTCACTTTTGGGGGGGGGGGGCGATAATCAATTTCAATTGTTGCACAAGTCTTCAATATATTTTTGAAACAAACAATATTACTGGTGTTCGCGATTCGTTGCAACAGCAGAGAACATATATTGGGTCATGCTTTGTCACCGGTATTACAGAAATGTAGTATTGCTTTAATTTTCTAACCTGGAGCGTTTTTCCTAAAAAAGTAAGTGCCGGTAGTGATTTTCTATAGGCGTGTAAAGAAAGCTTATTGGTTCGCAGTCTTTAGATTGGGGCCATAGAATTTTCTGTAGGCGGGTAACGAACATTTATTGTTTCCCAGTCTTTAGACTTGTGGCAATAACATTTTTTATAGGCGGGTAAAGAAAATGTATTGGTTCCCAGTCTTTAACAGAAGGCCTTAGATTTTTCTATAGCTGGCTGTAGCTGCACTTGTGGATTTCTAAAGCCGATCATAGAGGGCCATAAGAGGTGATAGCCTGCCATATGATTTTCCAGAGACGACCATAGACCATTTTTGCATGGGTTCATTCGTTGCCCTTTCGAGGTGTTTGTTTTCTTTCAGAAATGAGAGCCGATTTTCGACACACTTGCCCCTCGGCGAGTCGGCGCCGTTCATACAGATATATCTCCTTCCATCGTTAAAGCGCTAGACTAGGCCACGACTGTACTGTAATGCTCGGAAATATTCATGGGCGCCTAATACAGACGTAATACTTTTTTCGACCGTCAATCGGTGTTGAACGGCAATTTCTTTTTAACAGCACTTGGGGGTAAGGTCGTTGTTTAGTTCTATGACCACACTAAAAAGGTATCAATCGAAAAAAAAAAAAAAACACTTCCACACGGGTCAGTAAGCAATTAAGGAAATGTAACATTAGGAGAGTATCAGAAATGGTCAGTAAATGCATGAACGCTAGGTCAATTATAGAAGGAGTTGTAAAATGTCACGTAAAATTAATAAAAAAACTAGTTTTATGAAACAAATCTTTTAAAATGAAGTTGTTAACACCTTCTTAAATGGGCAACATATTACTTACCACAGCTTCGCACTCACCAATACAAAGACATCTTTTAAAATACAAAATCCACTTTAAAGTAGTTTATGACCACGATCAAATCGCCGAAACCACAAAAATAGAATAAAAACGTGGTCAAAAAAAGGGCGTGCGCAGAACTAACATTGATTGAAAGCCCATCTTGCAAATACTCGTGTGAAAATGCATAGCCCCTACTAAATCCGGCGCAGCCCGTTTCGCAAGAACAAAGTCTGCCTTTTCGCCGATAATGACGCACATCTGTCGCAAATACAGTCCATGCCTTTTTCCTTATTTCGAAGGACTCGTGTAGCTCCCTAGATATCTGATCGGGAGACCTACCCAAAATTCACGTGTCACCAAATGGCGGTGTAAACGTAAACTGGCTGCAATGCGTAGGAAGGTGTCCTGGCGGAGTATTGCATCTGCATATTGGTTTCTGCAATCATTAAATCATCTGCGTCTCCGGCCAATGTGCGACCTTTCGCGTGACATAGGAATTTCATATACACTCATGAATGACAAATGATGAGGTGACGAATAACTGGAGAAACTAAACGTTTAATGGGGCGAACTTGTGTTTAAAACAAAACGGAAAGCTAGGGTCGCAGGCGTCGATACCATCGATACATCAGGATCGAGCGATGGGGTGAAAATAACTCATGCTCGCCGCGCCCAGCCCCTTTTGTAGACGCGTGGGCTTTGCTATCAATCGGCGTAGAAGGTTCGGAACGTAGAGCATTCGTACCTCGAACGAGCAACATGGTTCGTAAATTTACCAGAACGCAACATTTACGAAAACAACGCGTCCGCTACAAGGCACCGAACCTCGGCCCATTTCCGTAGGAGCCAAGTGCGCAGTCGATTTGGCTAGCTACGCTCGCGGCAACGCGACTCTCGTGGTGCATTCTGTGAGCCTGTTACGGTGTTTCTTGTACCAATGTTCTGCTTAACATCCGGGGATTGTTGATTTTGCTGCATAATAGCAACAGCTTATTATACTCCGTCTCACCCTACGATGGACTAGGGCCTGAAGGCTGGCGGGTGGAGCATTGCTTTAGGAAAGCTTGCATGGGCATTGCGCAGAAGTGCGCGACAAAAATACGGATAAGCAGACTACGAAGAGGACTTATCTAACGCATATGGTTCTCTCTTATGATAGCGCGCTATTTTATATTGGAGAAATAAAGGTACATGGTATTTAGTTCCATAAACGTTCTGTCCATATTTCGTAAGCGTGTCAACTGTTCGAAGATGTTGAACGGCGCGCAAACAAGACTGACGAAATCGTCGCGCCTTAGCCATAACAATCCAATCCAACCCAATCTAATCTTTCTGTACGTACCCGAACTAGTACCTCCCTTCCGCACGGGGTCCATACATACGCCCCCGTGTCGAACACTCGATCCGACTCACCTTCATTTCTGAATGGCCACTGTTTCTGATCCTGGGTTCTCTTCGCCCCTTTGTTTCCAGACGGTATTTACTCCATTCAGTGGTCTTCGGTAGTAGCAAGCAGACGGAGCCACCGCGAGGGCTCGCTAAGCAGACGAAAAACTCGCCTCCGCATGACGCCTCTTGGCGCTCATACGTACGACGGAGCCAGGGGTAGATACGCCGCCACAACAGCGATCATCGCGTTCACATGCACTTTTTTGCCAGGGGTTCTAAATGAACTACCTGGGTTGTGACGCCATACGGCATATCACGCAGGCTTATGTGCCGTCATTTGTTGCCACCTGGGGACCACTTTTTGATGCAAGGACGAGATAGGACGCAAAACGCGCCAATGGAAAACACATTCCAGTGTCCGTAGCTCGACGAACACCACTCACTGTTTGTTTCAGATTGTCGTGGGGCAAGACGGAGGGTCCGCCCTTCTGTTAGATCACACAGATTGCGACGGCACCGTGATGGCAGGAGTCACGAAACACTGCTACAATTATGCGTGAGTATTGCTTTCAGTTGAAATCGATGAACCGTATGTCAGGAGTAATCGGCACATGCGCAGTCCTGCATCCAGCAGCGGCGAAAGCTCGAAACAACGTTCGGCTTCGGAAACGGAAGGTGCCCTACCTCCGCGACTCGCATGATTCGCGGAGGATGGCGGAAAGGTAGTGAAAGTCCCCTTCCGGGCGCCAATCGTGCTGGGAGATTTGGCCGCTTGGTGTCGTACTTATATGTAGAAGTGAAAAGCCCTTCTATTCTGGGAAAAGTGGCGCCATTTTTCGAACCAGCCGCCGCGCACACTATTGGCCAGTCGTCACGTGACATCTGTCTTTTGGTTTTGGACTTCCGGTCACCATGAATTTCCCATGATATTTCTGATGTTGCTACACCGCAGCTGACGGGCTGCTGCGCCTGTGGAAAAGTCTTCAGAAAGCTTTTCAGTGTTCCCCTGGAGCAGAAAGTGAGCCTCGGAGGAAGATCTAGCTTCACCGAATCGGTCGAAAATATTGTATCCCGACGGCAGCCGCAAGGTTATGCGAGGTGAGTGCTCTGTATTAAGCTCACCAGCATGCAAATGACAGCTGTTTAGAGCGAGTTATGCACTCCATTCCACATCTAAACGGGAGCAATGTAATAGCGAGCACAACATTGCCAACTTGGCATGCACGGACGCCCGTGCCGTGGAAGTAAAGGCGCCCAACGCGCAGTTGCGTTTGAGAGCGTTTAACTGCGTTGCGTCAAGACACGAAAGGGAGTCACCGGCACATCTCTGGTTCGTATGAAGCGTGGAATCCAATTCAAGGGAATTGCTTGGCATGCGACAGAAGAAGTATGGATGTCCTGCGTTCTCGAAGTCGCAACGCAGTGAAACGCTCTCAAACGCAAATGTGCGTCGGGGCCTTAGGTCGTTGAAAACGGCCTGCTCCTGTTTGTGCTTGTTGCATTGGTGTCGCTCTCTATTACGGGTGCGTGCGGAGTACGCGCTCTCGTCAACTGTTGCGTACGTGCTCGCGTACCATACTTTGTTTCGCACAGATAGGTTGCAACTCTGCCGCGGCTGCGTACCCGAGCATTTAGATGTATCTATACTCCGTTTCAATATAAGTGCGAGCGCATCCAGTGCGACAAGCAGAAGTGCGCTTTCTCTGACGACGCTTTTACTGGACGAGCGCATGTGCTTAGCCTGCTCAAAGTGAGTTCACTCTTGTAGCGTCAATAGGGTCTCCTTCGCTCGCAGTCTTATTGAAACGAAAAATGCAAGCAAATGAAACATTCGAGATCAACCCTACACTCGCGCCAGCAGCTTTGACAGCGGAAACTTCACGTGCAGGTCTTTGTCAGGCTAACCTAGGATCTGCAGAAACGAGCGTTTGAGGTGGCGTTACATAATGTGCTCTCGTCTAAAATCCGACATCGTCAATCTATTACAGGACAACTTCATTATCGACCAATTCAAAACACTAATGATGCAAAACAAAGGAGAGCAATAAATTGAGGAAAGATGCTCTCCCAAACATTTCTTTTAGAGCCCAGCTCTTCGGCGCCCATTTCCGGCTTGAGTGGCGTCGGCGTCGCCGTCGCCGTCGGCGTAACCGCGCGGTGCATTATGGGTAAATTTTCCCGCTAAATCTAGCAGAAAAATTTCCCCGCTAAATCTCGCGGAAAAAAGTTCCCCGCTAAATCTAGCGGAAAAAATGTCCCCGCTAAAATTAGCGCCAAAATTTTCCCGCTAAATCTAGCGGAAAAATGTCCCCGCTAAATTTAGCGGAAAATTTTCCCCGTTAAATCCAGCGGAAAAATTTCCCCGCTAAATCTAGCGGAAAAATTTCCCCGCTAAATCTAGCGGAAACATTTACCGCTAACTGTAACGGGAACAATTTCCCGCTAAATCGGGCGGAAAAATTTCTCCGCTAAATCTAGCGGAAATATTTCCCCGCTAAATCTGGTGGAAAAATGTCTCGGCTAAATCTAGCGGAAATATTTTCCCGCTAAATCTAGTGGAAATATTTCCCTGCTAAATCTAGCTGCCGCTAAATCTAGCGGAAACATTTTCCCGCTAACTTTAGCGGAAAAATTTCCCCGCTAAATCTAGCGGAAAAATTTCTCTGGGGGTCACGTGTGACCCCTTCCCCCGAGGCCAGGTGACCCCCCGTGATTTTGGGGAGGGGGTCATGTGACCTTGGGGGTCACGTGACCTCAGGGGCGGTCACGTGACCTCAGGGGCGGTCACGTGACCTCAGGGGCGGTCGCGTGACCTTTCTGGCCTTGCCCCCTCCTCCTCAAGAGCTGCGCTCTAATTCGATGTCACAGGGAGTTCTAAACGGCTTTCATTTTTTTGGTTACCTTCAACCCGGAGAGTAAATCACCACTGCAAGAGAACTGGAAATGTAAATGATCTGTACAATCTCCCCCAAACCATAGATTTTTTCTTCAGTAAGACATGTTGCATAAGTTTTACAATACAAATTTGATGCACAAATTGATGCTTTTGTATGCCTTATCTACAAAATGCAGTTCCATTTGTTTGTTTTGGTTGGCTCCCTAAAGTCTCCAAGGCACCCCCAGCAAAACCTAAATAGTACACTACAAGGCAATGCATACAGTACTGAAACATCCCCCGGACAGACTGCTGCAGCAACCGCCGCTGCTCTTTAGTTTGGCTGTCCGATACTGTTCCGTGGTCGACCTTGGCACATCTACCACTAGTGCCATCTTTGTCCATTCTCGGAGTGTGTGTCCCCCCTAGGGCCCCCAGCAAGATCCAAGCGGAGCTTTTCTATGGGGGCAATATGCCGCAGTGACCGCAGCTGTTGGTGTGTTTGGCAGTCCGATAACCTCTCCAGGTCCACTGAGGCTCACCTACCACTAGGGTCGTTTTTGTCGATTCTAGGCGAGTGTGTCCTCCTGGGGCCCGCCCCCCCCCCCTCCCCCCCCCTCCTTCAGCGAGCTCTAAGCGGTGCTGTACAGAACCTAACATTCCCAGCTTCCGCAGAGCAACCTGGTTCGGCAACCCCCCGAGCTGCTGGTGAGTTTAGCACAATGATACTGTTTCCAGGTCGACCGAGGCACACCTGCAACAACTGTCGTCTCTGTTCCGTTTATTCAATCTAGAAGTGTGTGCCGTCCCATGGCTGCCCGAGCAAGGTCTGGGCAGCGCCCTACAGGTCCTTGCTTGTTCAGCATGTCCTGGACGGATTGCCGCAGCAACAGCCGATGAGTTTTTATTTTCGACTGCTGGATATTTCTTGATAGAGTGCAGACAGTTACACACTGTTACTTACATCCGATCTTATTGTCTCACCGTTGGCCACTTAACAAGACTTTATAGTATCAGCTGCCTCGGTGCTTACGAGGGAAGAGCGCTGGCCTACGGATCCCCATGTGGCGGGTTCGAATCCCGGCCGAGGCGCCCGCAATCTGACGGAGGCTTATTGCGGAGGAGGCGCCGTGTAACCGAGCTTTCGGTTGCACGTCAAAAGATCCCCAGGTGGTCCAAATTAATCCTCAGTCCTCCGCTGGGGCGTGCCTGATGCCCGTCGTTGGTTTGGCACGTAAACCCCCCAAACTTGACTTAATATTAAAATTGTTTCTTTTTCAGACACGCAGTTTACACTTGACATAAGGCAGTATCATCAGAAGGCCAGTCTTTCTGGTGTACTGATGAATAACAAAGAGCTACAAATACAACTGTATTCAATGCAGATAAAACTGATATTGACGCAACGTCAGGAGTATCAGTTGCAGCGGGAAGAGAACAATTCAAAATTTGAACTTAGGCGCTTTCTCTTTGCAGAGCAAGTAAATTGTCTCGAAATGTTCACTATGAAGGGGACTGCATGGACTAAAGGCATCCTCGAGAAAGTTTTTAAGATTGATCTTTCTTGTGTTTCCCATGGTTTCAATGTGGTACTAAAGGAATCGGGGTAGTTATTGCCTGTAGAACGCACATTTCATTGGCATCTTCAGGACTTCAAGTTCGTGTTAGACATAATTCACAAGCTGATGGATTCTTTAGCATACAATGTGAGTCAGACCTCCTGCCTATAATCCACTCGTGCATCCTTATTTTGAGTATGCCTCTGATGTCGGATACCTGCAGAGTGCAGACCCGTCTCCTCAAGGGGCTCGATGTTTAACCCTATCTGGTTTGTACAATTTATTGCATGCAGGCGTGCCGAATCAGTAACAGCATTAGGAATTGCAAGGGCTTTAGAAGTATTTTACGATATGTAAAAGTGACTACACCTGTCAGTAAAACTACCTGCACATTTGTGAAGTGTTAAGAAGGCATTTTGATGGTGTGTGGTGTGTCTCCGTGTCACTTTATTTCTTCTTAATTCTGTGATCTGTTTTGTTTTGTACTCAGCATATGTTCTACTTATAGTGAATACCCCTACCGTGGACTTTTGCTTGGCTGGCCGTTTTGTGAAATAAATAAAATTGTGACTTTTATTTCGTTCCCTTTAACGTAATCTGGGCTTGTGTGGTTTCATAGAGATTTTGATCTCGCATTCGCTTGTTTTGCATTCTTCTCTGGATAAGATTTGAATCATTTTTGCCTCATTCCCTTTTGTTGAAATAATAAGCAATTGCTTGACTTGATTAGGTGTTGAAGCCGAGCGCTGGTTTTGAAGTTCGCACCAGTTTTCCAGCCCTACAACGCTGGCACAGGGGTCTAAAAGCAGCGTAAATTGTAGTTACACCTGGATTATTTTTGTATCAAGGAATAACGAAAATGATAGACACTCCGATAAAATTACAAGGTTACAAAACTAAAGGAAAACGGAGGTTTCATTTCTAAAAACGGTTTTATCAAATAAAATAACGAAAATAGTATTTAATGCGCGTAGTCCCTTAGCGAAAGGCCCGTGGTGTCGCGAATTTTTACAGCATGCACAGAATACGCGCATAGAAACTCGTAGCGATTTTTATCATTACTATTGTACTACAGTCAGCTTAATAATGATAGCTTAGCGTCAACTACATCAAGGCTTCCCC